CAAATATATTTTAGGCCAGTAAAAGCCGAGTTTTGATGTTGGAGCGAATATTTGTTAAATACTGACGGAATAATAATACCTGGCAATATTAATGTATATGATGGATAAGTGTTTTTAGTCTTTATAACGTATTTTTTATTTGATTAAAATTGCGAAAAAATACTGTCTTAGTCAGGAATCGGATCTCCCCACTTGCTAGGTGGGACGTACCAATTCGGTCACTAAAACCTCAGCAAAACTCTTTGTGGTACAATATTTACAAATCTTTATTTGAGTCAAACAATTGTTAATAATAAACAAACAATTTGTTTGATGCCGGCTGAAGTGTAGCATGTTCTGTTCGGTCGGTTCGGCTCTTATTGACGTAAAATATATTTAATTTAAGTTGTATACTTCAAGAGCCTATGTATATAGAATTAATTTTTCTTTCCCTTCTGAAACAATGGTGATTTTTTGATACGACAGAAAGCATCTGGATCATATATTAAAGATGCAGAGACGTGAAAATGTTAATACACCGCAAAATGAGGAAACTGCGGATGATGATAACGTAAGTACAATGTGGTTTCGTGATGCGAATACCGTTTGAGCGACGAAACATTTCCGTAGGAAGAGCGGGATATATTGGAAAGCGAGTTAGATGAGAATGATCCGCTGAAAAATTGCATCGGCGAATTGAACGGAGAGACATTGCTTGAGATGTGTTACAGCATTTCCGCGAGCGTCCCCGAGGATATAACAATCGATACGACCCTAAAGAAAATATTTACATTAAATTCTATGAATTTTTACAATGATCAACAAAATAATCATTTATATACTGGTCGCCCATCACATCCTATGCTAAGGTATTTACACGTACAAAATATTTAAAGATTAAACCGGAATGACCAACATGGAATGATTTTTTTTTTAATATCATATATATCACGTAAATATATACATATAGTCGATATAATATTAAATTAATACATAATAAATTAATACGCGGTAGACATAACGCAGAGATAGAAAGGAATATATTGCCGGAAGAAAGTTGTATCAAACGAACAGCTTTAACGATTAAACAAGTATTAGACTTATCGAATTCTTCCCTGAAGGTTCGTGATAAATCCGCAATATTGTTATTGTTATGGACAGATCTCGTGTAGAATAATAAAATCATTTTCAAGGGACAGGAAATTATCGTAAACGGCAGAAATCCCCTTCCCACGGATAAAGTTCAAAGTGTCGCGAGAAGTTTCATTACCGAATATCCCTTTGTTATGAAGTGCAAGAGTCAAGATTACGGAAAACGAGATAAAAATTTAGCTTTATTAAAAAATACAGTCTGGCCGTTAAACGCGACTGATAGGAAAAATTGTAACTCATACCAAATTGAGAATCCATTGAAATTATGCGAATCAGAAGTTAAGAGAGATATAGGAAAATCGCGCGATGAAGAATTCAGGGAAATGAATTCAGAAGGAGTGTCTTCAAAAGCAGTGCAAGCTTTCGGACAAAACGTTTCTAGACAAATAGCTCCTAGCAACACAATTTATTTATGCGAAAGTCTATCTTCCAAGTGCGTTATTACTTGATTAGAACTTATTAGAACCAGGAGTAATTTAATTTAAGATGTAGTGTATGATTTGTTTGCGACCAATGTGTATTTTCTAACTAACAAGTGTCGTCTTACAGAGATAGCAGTGAAACTGTGGTGACATCTTCCATGACCCTTGCATCCGGTCGCGAAAACAGCCAAGCAACTGGTACGTATCATAGGTATACGTTACTTAAAAATGTTAATCGAATAATAATATATTTGGAATGAGCATCTCGCCGTCGTCACGTGACGCTGGCTTAAGAATGACGAACTTGGCACATTAAAAGAATAATTCGCGAAGTGACATTTAGTGAAAGTCTCGCGGCTTTCCCTATACGTGCAGGACTTTGAAAAAATTGGAGCACGTGGATGAAAGTGATGGGAAACTTAGATAAATATTAACTAGTCAGATGACGCACTATAGGTCACTAAGGTCACTGGGACTACTTAAGAAACGTCTCGCGTTTTAAAGTGACTAGTTCAAATATCTCGACTCGTCAATAGATATACAATTTTCTCATAAAGAATGAAAATAATGAGGAACAGATAAGTTGATTAATTTCTTGAAAGATTGAATCGTTACTTTTATATTTAATTTTATATTTTGCAGAAGTGGAGAAATTCAGCAGCATAGCGTCACTGTGAGTAATACTTCACGTATTCACGATGGAATGTACTTCTCGCACAGCTATCAAATATCTCTTTGTATCATAAAAAGCACACACATTTTATATTATTTAATCTTTACGCACACATAAGTTCTGCGTACGAGATAATGATTCTTATATCGAATTATGACGTTGAATAAATTATATGTTTGTTGCTTGTCTTAATAATGCTTCTGCTTATTATTGATTCCCATAAATCTATATTTAGCAGTAGCACTGTTTATAGGAATGCTAATAACTACGATAGCAATGTAGTTAACGATATTTCATGGAAAAGTGACTTAGAACTCGCTAAAGAAGAAGACGCATTTCTGGCCAAGCCTAAAATATCGAGAACACCTCCGTGAGCATGAATATCGAAGATTCTAAATAACAAGTGCTGCCGAAACGTTAGTTTTTCTAGATAAAAGTTATAGAATTATAATAATTAAAGAGTATTTATTACACGAAGCATCCTTGACAAACAGCAAGTAAGTAGATGAAAAGCACCTCTACAAGCAATAACATATCACACAAGCACACATAGTGTTTTTAACTGTAAATAATAAAAAATATATATCAAACGCCGTTGTAACTGGCAATTATTCAAAACATCCTAGAAGGGAAACAATAAAAACGCCAACTTCAACATTTACAAAGAATCGAACGGCATCTTTATTTTGAATGACGTTGAAGCAATTCCTCATCCAAAAAATATAATCTCGTTCTTAGCGGAAACTCCTTATATTACGGCCTCCAGAATATTCTTCTAAAACTAAAAGGAAAATATTCTAACACTAAAAAAAAAGTGACTTTAGTCGCAACATGTTATTTTCTATAATTCCATATTCTAATTGAAAATTTTTACCGAAAAAGTATTTCCTTTTTAATAAAAGAAATATAATATTGCACTTATTTTCCTCCTTTAGCTTTAAAAGAATTCTCTTGAGATCATGTATAAGGGTGTGTTGCTTCTGGATGTTATTAAGCCGCTTATACAATAAATATATATACAAAACTCTCGGCGCATTATACCTATTAAATACGATCTCTCACGGTCAGAGGTACATATATCAAGAATATATAGTCTTTTGCACGAGCATGGGCCCACCGCCGCTGGCCCTGTATCGCCTGGGGACAGTAGGACCGTCGACGTAGCTACTACCACCGCTGTAACCATCGAAATTCGGTGATGCGGAATAACCAGCCGCATTCATGAAACCTCCGCTCTTGCTCCTGTAACCACCACCGGCGATGTAGGACGGCTCGTCGGAGTAAAGACTCGCGTAACTCGGCCTGCTATCCTTAATTATTATGACTTTTCCACCACCCTTGCCGTACGGAGCGTAATGACTATCGCGCGTCAGGTAAGTTACGCCGCTATTCGGAGCGTAGCGAGACGAGTACTTGTAGCCGTATTTATACGGTTTCCCCGCGGAGTAGTAGACAGCGGAGCCGTACGTCTTGGATAAGTAACCGCTCGGCCCGGAACCGGACAGGTACGGCGATGAAACACCGTGATTATGGCCGGCGTGTCCTGCATTTCCACGTGTGTAACGCGTTTCGCTCGGTATCGAGTGGATATCGTTGTACTTGTTGCCGCCTTTCAAGTTGCTGTACGGGCCGTCTTTCTGCTTTCCAAACGGGTACTCGCCGGCTGGACTGGCTGGCGGATAAGGGGGATAAACGTGATCACTCTCGGAGTAACTCTGAGCACCGGAGGAGCCGTGATATCCTTGCGCGCGTATGTCGCCGTCGGAGGTACTCTCGGCATAATTTTCCAACATAACAGGCCTATTGTATCCAGGATAAGGGAGTACTCTTTGGCTGTTACTGCTGCTACCAGCGGCGTACTGGCCGAAATCGGTGTCCCTTTGAACGGAGCCGCCGGAGTACGTCTTAAAGTTTGAATCTAGGTTACTGTTGGGACTGGAATATGCTCTGAACGGGATAGACGTTGCATGATTCGACAAAGAGTAAGAGTCGCCCTCGGGATTCTCGTAAGTTTTGGAATACCCGCCTTCGTGATCGTTCATAGGATATTTGTAACTGTTTCCCGTGTCACTCCCTATGCTAGCCTGATTAACGTCATTAATCGACGAATGGCTACTGATGTGATTAGATAATTTGTGACCAGTGTCTCTATCATTGTAAAAACTGCCGCCGCTCAAGTAGCTATCCTTGGATCCTAAGTATCCGTTATTGGCGACGGCGTTATTGTAATCGACGTTACTGTAATCGTATCCATTGTTATCGCCAGTGAGAGAGTAGCCTACAATAAAGCGGTTCTTCAATAATCATAAAACTCTTCATTCTATTTAAGATAAACGTGTGAGTTTAGGGGAGACCAGGGCTAAATGTCAGATTTTTCAGAATTTCGAAGTTACAAGTTTTTAACTAATTAAATATGCAAATATGATACAATCTTCTTCTACGTTTTATGCCATAACAATTTTGTAAACCATATTTTATTTTGTAATAATACGAACATACTGTAACGTGGCTATTTTGCTTTGGTACAGGGTCAATTTGGCTATTAATTCAGAGTAAAGAAAACCACATAAAAAATATATATCCTGATTAATAGTTTCAAGATCTCCACGAAAGATTTACATAGCTCTGCCGGCTTTTAAATAGTAGCCAACTTTACCTCTTCCATATACTCGATTTTAATTATTTTATAATTATTTGAATGAAAATTGTTTTCATTATCGAAAGTAGTGTATCATACGCTTGTAGAAAACTTCGTTCCAAGTAATAACACTTGAGTTTAGTCATTCACAATAAAATATTAATATTAAATTTTAAGACGCTCGAAAATGGCTTCTAAATTAATTTTTTCTGCTTTCTTGTTGTAATCTCGATTTTAACGAAACTATTTAACGAAGGAGAATCTATGTTTTGTAAAAGAACATTTTGTGATTTTGTTTTCATTGTTTCTTATGATAAATATATAAGAGAAGAGCGCACATGACTGACCCTAAAGTCAACTAGACCTGGTTTCCCTTACTCTACAGACAGCAGAAAACATCCCAGAATTATTCTGAATGTATCTAGGATATCCTAAGAAGTACTCTTAGGATGTCTCGAGTATATCCAGGATAATAACGTTTTATGCTATCTGAGTCTCAACTGTATATTTTATGAGAACAAATGTACGTAGCAAGTAATAATAAGGTTATCTTATTGATACGTACTGTTAAGAGGTGGTTCTGCATTCACAACGACGATACAACAAATTATCACTGCATTCTAAAAAAATATATTATTTTGTAAGAAAATAATTTATATAATTTCCTCGATATATATAAAATTGAAAATGTGTATCACTTACAAGTGCAAAGTTAATTTTAGAGATTTGAGAAAGTTATGATTTTACGCGAACTCTTTTAATGAAAATTTAAATAAGAGGATCTAAGAGAGGATCTAAGAGAGCGTATCAACACGAATAGTACATTAAAATTAATGTTTTAGCAAAATAATAGCACATAATATAAAACAGGATAGATGACATTAATATCTAATGATGACATTAATATCTACTTACTAGCAGCATGATGAATATCGCCGCGTCTCAATGTCAATCGGGTAAGAATTAATGGATCCTTGTTGTTCACCAAAATGTAACCACACACATATTGGCTCGCAAAAGCGTCGTTTTCTGTTTTATACCCCTAGCTACCCACTCCACGCTTTGTCGAAGAGGTAAAAGCGAACTTGGTGCGCACATACTGATGTGACATTGGTCGGGACCCGACCATACAGAGCGGAGAGAAAGAGTCAACCTGATTTAGCTCTTCACTTTTACAGGGAAAGCAATGGGTCACCTCTCTCAGTGACTACACGGCAAACTGCTGAGATACAGTATCGTGACCTACCTACCGCCACACGAAGGTGGTTCTGCGAAATAAATCTAGGAAGAGCATCCGTCTTGACTTTATTACAATAATCAGCCGTGCATTATAGTACTTTACATCATAATGATTGCGCGACATAGTAACCGCGGTTTACCTGCGTGGCCTGATGAGAACAGATATCTCCCTCGCTATCTACGTGACAGCAAAGCGTGCGTGCATTTGTGCAAAAATTATACCGTCGTTGATACACATCGTTGATTAACATAGTCGTTAATGAAGCTCCTGACTGTTTAAATCGTTAAATCTCGGGAAATGCCATGCGTTAAAGGTTGAAAGTTAATATTGAAATAGGAAACTGTTATTAATGGCTTCCAACTACTCGAAACATTCGATAAGAATTGATAGAAATCTACCTAAATTTCATTGAAGAGTATTATAAAACTTTATCTAAATAACTATTACCACTTCCATCGAAATAAGCAGGGTTGTACAATATTCAAAAAACTATTAGTTCATGTAACTGAATGGGGACCAGAAAAAAAACTCATTGACGAGAAATAATATCTCTGTTACTATGACTGAAGAAATTCGTCTGAATTTGTTCGAATATTCAGCTGAATTAAAATTCGGTTGAGGTAAACTGAGAGCAATTGGCAAAATCTAATAACCTAATTTTTCTATTTCTACAACCTAAGTTTTTTTACCTAATTCCCAAATAACAGAAAATTCAGTTACACTAATGTAGTTGTTTTTCACAGTTGTGCAGTACTTTAATTGCATCAATATTTAAGTTTCATAATCATGGTAATTATAAATATCTGATCTCATTAAAAGATATTTGGTATATGTCAAATGTTAATTTTTTGCGAGACTCGGTTGGCCAATCAACAAAAACAATTTACCACGCAATCAGGCCTGGTTCGATTTTTTGCGAATATCTAAATACGGGAATGCTCTTACGGAAATTTCGAGTTGAATCCATTGAAATTCGTGACCGACGAGAGGATATTTTACGTCGTATTTTGCATACGACGTAAACCGAGTATCTCGCCTGAATAACAATGGCGCTACGTAGAAAAGAAAGTTTCCCGTTGTTCCCTTAAGTATAGCAAATCTAACGTGAGAATTTTTATTTCTTCGTTATTTGCAACTTTTACCGTGGAAAGTGTCGTAGTTCGTCTTACTACAGTCCAATTTCCACGAACGAATAACGTTTTAATTAATCTCTCGCATGTAGGAACGATTTTCGATACGTTACTTCGATGCACAATTAATTAAAGTTGAAAGACTTGATTTTTACACCGATAATCTCCTCCTCCCCATTCCACTTATTATGCACGCCTTAATAAAGCCTCCGTTCTCAACGCTCTATAATTTGCAATTCTAAGATAATACTTCTTTTCTAACGGACATGGCATAGCGATCAGTACGAACAGCAATGGAGTACGGGATAGAAAGAGAGCGAATCGGGAATAACATCGATCAGGACAGCATGGTGCGCGCAATTGCCGGATACATCTGCGGCATTTCGAGCACATACATCCTGCTCGAAAGTTCGTAAACGATGCATAAAAAATTACAAATCCCTTACAGCTTGCTCGCGGAAGTCGGGATAATACTTCGCGTATGTACCACCGATGACCATCCGGCGTTCATAATTTTGCCCGCATTGTCCGTTTTAGTGCTTTCTACTTTCCGCGCACGCACGTGCGCTCGCATGTATTCATTCAAGCGCGTAAGTTAATCAGATGTATTTCAATAGATACTTGGACGGCAATGACCCAGGTGGTTGAATGCAAATGTCAATGTCTCTTTGGCGGCCGTGTATCGTGCTCAACGTTAGCACGCGAGTAACGTCTCGTCTTGAAGCGCGCGTATCTCTTCGTATCGACGAAAGGGTTTGCGACGGTTGCGGGTTCAATCTGGATTGTATTCTCGACGATTATTATTTATAGTCATTATCTAGATAGCACAAGCTGTTGTCTTGGATGTGTTGAGGGCGTCCTGGGCCGTCCAAGTGTCAGTTAAACATGTTCAGGCTGATTATGCTATTTGGATAATTGAAACTTGTTGCACATAAGATTCTCAAGTCTGAGTTTAGAGATAGATTTGAGCTTCTAAAGCTTCCCTCTTTCCTAACAGTAAAGATGTCCAGAACGTCCTGGGGACATCCTCGGGACATTCCTATTTCCTCAGGACGTTCCTGGGGCGGCCAGTTGTTTTAAAGTCAGAATGGAAAGTTGAATACAATTAATTCTAGGTATGCAACTCTGATGCCAAAGCAAGTGAAACCTTGACCCTCGAGAAAGGCAATCGATGCAATCGGAAGATCGCAGTCGCTTCTGAATGAACATGGCAGGCATTTAAAGCAACGCTATCGTAAGATCGTGAGGAAAGAAGAGACTACTGTGTAAATGGGAAGAATTTTGCTAAATTTCATTTGACGTGCGTCATATGTTACGAACATGAAAGCCAAACATCTTTTCTTCTTATCGTAGATAAAATATTAAGATGTGGTAGCAATTAAAAGTGTATTATTGTACTTAAAAGAGAAGAAACTTCCACATATGTCATCAACTATGTGATAAGAACGTCGGCTGAATGAATCCCAGATATTGCGACATGTTTCTGGACATTTGCTAGTGAAGAAGAAAATGATAACGTTCTATTTATCGACTGCGTATTATTTAACAACATTTACCATGTCGGTAATACGTATCGACGAATTCGAAGAGGAATGCTATATATCGGTATACGGCGAGGAAGAATTCTATGTAAAGTATTGAATTCTAAGCAAAGTTAGATATTTACATTTAAATTATGATACTCTACGTCTACGGTCCTTATTTTAAACTCTCTTTTATCGATAAAAGTACCTCTAAATATGACTGAAAGTCAATTAGAAGACTTATAAACCACATTATCATCTTATCGATAGAAGAAAGTTCAGAATGTAAGCCTACGTAGAATGTAGCAACGTAAACCATGTATGAAATGTCATCTATGTAAGTAATAAATAATTTATGAATGTTGTTTAAAGAGATAAAATACTTTTGCTTGTTTTGTAATAACCAAAATACAAACATTGAGCAACATCATCATCTTGTCCAAATATCAGACTCAATTGCGCAGGAGTTTGAAGTAAAAAAAAGAAGACCACCCAGATAGCACAGAGAATTCAAGAAGAATTCAAAAAGAACTCAGTAGTATGTCATTAATTCTGAGTTCATTTTCAGATGCAAAAAAAATTCTTCAAACCTCATTTCAGTAAAAAGAATTATTTTTACATCTAAAAATATACTCAGAATTAGTGACGTATGACTGAATTCTTTTTGAATTCTCTGTATTATCTGGGCACATATAAAATATGTGTCCTGACTAGTAGTTCCGAAGTTTCTTCGAGAGGTCTCCACAACCTTCCTGTTAGCCGTTATTTATTGGCTAATTGTAGCTGGCCTGCCCATATGCTCGATTTTGATCATTTTATGAATGAAAATTGCTTTTATTATAGAAATAGTATATCATACATTTGCAAAAAATTTCATTCTAGCTAATAACACGTTATTTTACTTTATTCACTCACGATGGAGAATATTAAAATCAAATTTAAAAGATTTACTTTGTTATTACTAAATTAGTTAATGAAATTTCTTACAAAGCTATTTAATGCACTTCTTGGAGATAAAAAATTTATAAAGTTTAATGTAACACTATTTAACATGCATTGCAAATATTCACACTGTTGAACTGATTCAAGTAATTGCGATTACATAGTGGGAAGCACGAAGACTCTCACTGAAAATTCGGATTCGTGAGTCCCGTATCTTATAGATTTTATATTCTCTTTTTTTTATATGTATGGAAGTGTTATATGTATGGAATCTTTTAAATATAATTGCTATCTTCTGATTTATTATGTTGTTCCTTTTCACTTTTGACAGGTAAATAGATATTAAAATAATTCATTCTATCATTTATATCATTTACTCTTGAGACATAAATTTTTAAACAATATATATCGTAACTGTATATAGAACATATACTTGTGTCGTTCTAAGTGCAGAAAAAAAATTTACATAAGAGAACGGAAGTGCAAATTGTGCTACTTTGAAATAAGTGAACGTCAAAGGAACGACGGAATTTCTTATGAGTCGCGAAAGTAGATTGGGGTCGACTATTATTTCGATGTCAGGTGAGCAGCTTTTCTAACAAATTTCTCGAAGAAAAATCTCCGAGACAATCGCTCGTCTAGTTGCATATACTCTTCGTGTGCATTCGCACGAGACGAACATCACTGTTCTCAGGGTCGGGTATATTTGAACTTTTATAATTCGGATGAATTTTAGATAATTTGAAATCATATGGAACAATGAATCTATTTTTATTATAAATATTTCTATACATGCAGTGAATAAAGAAACTCAGGAAATAAATATTCAAAGAAGTTTATATCAATAATTGGATCAAATATGTCGTTTAAATGGTTATAAAGTGACTATCTATTTTATTTTTATAATCATTTTAATATCAAACTGTTTGATTTCTGTTCGATTTGTATTGTTAATCTATCATTGAATTTTACTTAACTTCACTTCTGCTACTAATCTGTGATTATACTCAGTTCTCAGAGAGCAAACATTCTCAATATTACATCAATATTATAATTTCCTACTCAACAATGTTAATGCAATATAATATATGTTATATGTAATAATAACATTTTGTGTTGAGTGAGAAATTATAATACTGACATAATGTTACCGTTGTAATATTTATTGGACTATATAAGGAAAGACGAGAGATAAATAATTAATTATCAATAAATCATAAAGAATGAGATACTTATAATTATTACACGAAAATATGTGGCTATTTACACGTGTGCAGCCGTTTCATTCGCTTTGCAGTTCGGCCCTGATCATTCTACGCAACATTGTGCGCGAACGTGACGTCCTTCGTTTCTAAAGTTTTCTGAGTTTTTTCTTACAGATGACTACCAGCGACGAGACTTTGAAATCTTGACATGTGAAATCGAGTACGAGTGGAGATGAAGTACGCCTCGCGCCTGTCGGCGGTGACGGACATATTATAGACGTTGCGCGATTTACAACCCTCTTCTCCGGGTAGGGGCGTGTTTCCTCGGTGTATAAGACACGCTAAACGAGGACCTGTCGTCGTTAGATCGCAGACTGTTGAGCCGCGAGTAAGTATAAGTCTAGGAAAGAATCTTAGAGTGAGATTTCTGCGATAATATTAGATGCAAGTTAATAATGTCTGTAGCACTTTGAGGCAAATACTGAAGCGTTAAATATTTGCGATATTAAATATTGACAATATTATTAAACTGTTGAGAGACTCTCATCTTAAGTAACTGATCGATATTATTTTCAAGTAGTCCACTATTTTGCGCGTGTTAAAGTATAATCTATACCCAAAAATTATACCGATATCGCGTATTATTTCTAGATGAGCTTCAGTATGCGCGGAAGTGCACTGTGTCTTCTGCTGTTGTCCATCTTTCTGGTGAAGGCTTACGTAAAGTCCTGCAAATACTGGTGCAAACTGGGCAATCGATACTACTGTTGTCCGAGCGGGAAGAGCGAGTCTTGGTCGGAACAGAGCTGGCATTCGTTGTTGTTCCCTTGGTTTTGGCTCGGCATTGACGACTCACAAGACGAATCACCTTGGCATGAGATCATAAAAAAGCCGAAGAAGCACTGTCCACCATTAAGGACCCACTGTCCCAGGACCTACGATTGGTACAAGCCACCTGCGCTCTGCGAGAGTAATGACGACTGCAACGACTGGGAGAAGTGTTGTTACGACGTCTGCTTGGAGCATAAGACGTGCAAAGACGCGGAATAGAGTTCCTTCCGTGATTTCGTGACTTGTCGGTGCTTGTAATTAAGAGATGTCGATCCTTCGAAAGCAATCTCCGGTAATAAGCCGTAATAAAAGTCCGATTTTTTTTCTCGATATCATCAATGCCGTTAGACATTGACATAATGATCAAGTGATGTAATCATACCATTGTCTTGAGATTCTTGCACTTTAACTTGCGTTTCATTTCTAAAAGTATAAAAATGTAAACTGTGGGATCTTTTTACCATTGAGTGGCTTTAAGCGATATTATATAATTCACAAGCAGCTTTATAAAAGTGCAATTTGAACAACTTTGATAAGAATAAATGTTAGACGATCTAACACACACATTGTTATGCTAAAATTTTTATTATTTAAAAGTTGCTTGTTTTTAATAGTGAAATACGCGTATGGCGAGCGTTGTAAAAAACATGTGTTTTTGTGCCTTTGCCATTAACTCTTCACACAATGCAATGAGATAAACTGAAACTGGTAGTACTAATTTCCTCGATATCAATGCTTTCATTCGATTACACTTGTTTTTTTTTCAACTGCTTCAATGGACTAGCGGATATGATTCAAAAATTCCCAAAACCGTGATGTAGGTTTAAAATGATACATGTATGAATGAGAAAAGTACAACATGGTAAATTCGCGTGTCAATAATACACGCGAGTAAAAAGAGATTTCTTCTTTGTTTGATTGTAACTTCCATCTTTCGACACTTACAAAGGAAGGTGTGAAACGAAAAGAAGCGAGTAGAAAGGTTTTCATCTCTCTCTCTCTCTCTCTCTCTCTCTCTCTCTCTCTCTCTCTCTCTCTCT